CGGGATCCTATTTACAATGTATTTGCTAGCTTTTGTTACGCTGTACCTTCAACAGAATACCGCGTTACAATACAATACAATACAATACTCCCTTCAAGAGATAAAAACTAAAGTTACAAAATATCTCCCGAAAGGGAATATCTAGAGGTCAACCCCATATAAAAGATTCCCCAAAATAAAAGATGAAAGGGTAAAATCTAGAATCTAAAACATTATATACAGAAAGAAAAATTCTAAGACCTAAAAACTAGAATAAAAAACATCATTTGCACATCATAATTAAAACTATTTACAATAGTATCAATCAATATTCATATGAATCCTTAATCTGTTGCGAAATAAAGTCAGCGATCCTGCGTGTACTACATCTTTGGGCAAATTATTCCACGTATTGACAATCCGTAAAAAGAAAGAATATTTGTAGCAATTTAGGATGGCAACCTTTACATAGAGCTTATAATCGTGATTGGCTCTAGTTCGATTACATTTAGTAAGTTCAAAAAAGTCCGAAAAGGAAGGCTATCTATTCCAAAAACTATCTTGTAGCACTGAACTAGAGATAAGAACTCTCTACTTTTCTGCAGAGTTTGCCAATTCAGTAAGCGGCAGCGGTCTTCATAGCTCATTTCTCCGCGCTTTTGCTTTAACGCCAACCGTGATGCTCTTCTTTGGACTTTTTCCAAGGATTGTTGCGGAATCTTCCACTGCGTTTGGAATATCTCCGCGTCCGCTGGTTCAACAAACAATCAGGACTGTATCTTTCACTTTTTTCGCTTTATTTCGTTCGTTCATTCGTACATCACAATCGTTCTAAACGTTCTACTCAAAATTACAATGCTCACTAGTTTTATGGTTACCACAAGTAAACGCCTTAACTACGTATGTCCGGCCGCAAACCGAACTTGACAAAGGCTCACTATTATTTCTTGCGATCTCAAACATGAGCGTGATACCTATTTCCTTAACATATCCCACATTATCTACCTTAATTATTATTTACCGCGCATAAACCGATTACAATCAAAACCACTAAGGTTGATAAAAACAAACCGAGTCAATTCTATTATTCCGTCATAGGATGTGGTTATACGCCTAAGATAATTTTCTACTTGCAAAGCAAAATCAACTGTTCAACAATTACGAAAAATAATGCTAATAAAAAGTTATAACAAGGATCCCACATTCTTTTTTGGTAGGGGCTCCAGACGGGGGCAGCGTATTCGAGTATAGGTCTTACCAACGACTTAAAGAGGCAAGAAAACGCATACCTATTATCGTTTCTGAGTGATCGCTTACTTACACCTAATACTTTGTTCGCCTTGTTTACTATGTAGGAGACGTGTTTACCCCAAGATAGATCGTAGTTTATTGTGACCCTTAGGTCCTTGGCAGTTTCAACAGATTTTAGTTGCACAGCTAGAGAGGAACTTGGCTAAGATCTGTCCCTACTGTGCGTTGCCAGCATGACTTCACTTTTTTCGGGATTAAAGCGCAACTGCCACTTGGTAGCCCAATCGCTTAATCTATTCAGGTCAAGCTGTATGGCTGGTATATTCTTATCAGGCTCATTGATCGTACGATAGATTTTGGTGTCATCAGCGTAGATTGTGACTGTTGATGTTACGTTTGTCAAAATATCATTTATATAAATGATAAATAAGATTGGGTCGAGTACTGTTCCTTTCGGGACGCCTGAAATCACGGGTGACCAATCTGAACAACTACCCCTTAACACGACACGCTGCCTTCTATTCGTCAAGAAATTTCTGATCCACAGTAATAGGGAGCCATCTATCCCATGCCGTTGTAGTTTCAGCAACAATGAAACGCTCATGTGGCACGCTGTCGAAGGCCTCGGAGACATCTAAGAAGATGATATCCGTTTGCTGCGAACGATTCCTAGCCTTTGCCCAGTCGTTGTAACATGTAAGTAATTGTGCCAACGTAGATTTGCCCTTTAGATACCCAAATTGGTTTAGGTTAAAAAGATTGAGATCTGACCAAAAGTCTACCACACGGGTCCTTACCACAGATTCTGCAACTTTTGTTGTATACGATAGTGATATTTGGCGGGAGTTCTCCATAAGAATTTTTGCTCCCTTTCTTGTAAACTGGAGTGATGTGGGCCGACTTCCATATACGTGGTGGTTGACCTTGAGAGAACGATGTATTCAGAAATAAAGTCAGCGGAGATGACAACACTTGAGCACATTCTCTTAGGATGCGAGGTGATATGCAGTCAGGACCAGGGGATTCATAGATACTCAAACTTCTTAGCAATTTCTCAACTTCCTTAGCAGAACAAAAGATATTACATAATTTCTTGTCGGTAATATATTCGAGGTCGGGAAAGTTTTCGTGATCCTCAACAGTAAAGACCCGGCGATGAGAAATAAGAATTCATACAGTTGGCAATACTCGGGTCGTCGTTAAGAAACGAATCGTTCACCTTTAAGGACACTAGATCACACTTAACTTTTCTCTTTGGTTGAACAAAGTTCCAAAAAGGCTTTGGACTGTTACTGGTCTTTAATTCATCTGCCAGATTGTTTACAGACTGCCTACGCGCAGAGTTGCACTCCGTCTTCACATAATAGACCTTGTCACGGTTTTCGACGCCATCTTGACGAGTAGGCAAACGCGTGAGAAATTACAGTGTTTGTATCAGAATCTAATGCCGAATAATTTCCGTAGAATGGCTGTTCTGAAAAAAATATGATTTGTAAACTAAAGCTTCACTCCTAAGGATTCTCCTGAAAAAATTTGAGGGCGTTACATGCACTCGAAGACCTAGAACCACTTTTTAAAATTTTCTAAACATTTGTCTGTAAGAAAGTCCCGGGAAAATTACAGACAAATATATGGAAAATCTAAAGCAAGCCTCTGGAGAAATTTAAGCACAGGTACGCCCCCCAAATTTTTTAGGACAATCCTTTGCTGTGTAGCTTTAGCTTACAATTGATATTTTTTTCAGAACAGCCGTTTTACGGAAATTATTCGACATTAGATTCTCATACAAACACTGTAATTTCTCACGCGTTTGCCTACTCGTCAAGATGGCGTCGAAAACCGTGACAAGGTCTATTGTTAAATTTACGATATTTGTCTCAGTCGGTCAAAGCGCAGGTGTTTTTCGCCCTTTCACAAAGCGCTTTCTTTCTTCTACTCAACTTAATTAGATCCCCGCTTATCCATGGTGCATTTGAATTCTCTTCGCTGTCCTCTTTGGGATACACTCGTTGACAGCAGATAAAAACAAATCAGACCATGCAGCCCATATACGATCTATGTCAGTATCCATAAAAGCACAATGCCATGGAGTGTAATGTAAAGGAAATCCTGAGATGATTTTAGTCAATATTTAAACTTCTGCGATTTCCCTTCAGGGAAAGATTTCCTCGATAATACCATAGAGATCGAGTTATGGTTAGAAAAGGGCAGACCAACTTTTAGATCATAAACTAGGCCAAGAGACGTAACGAATACCAAGTCTAAGATATTTCCATTGTGACTTGGATCCTTGACTAGCTGAAAGAGAAAATTGTCGTCTATAATATAAATTATACACGGTACATAATATAAATCAGCAATCATAAATCATAATATAAATCGGCCTGGACGAAATCATTTACATAATATAAATCATTTCCGTAAAAAAATCCATTGTACTGTATATACAGTACAAACTATTAGGTTATCAAGGTTAGCCTGTTCCAAGCGTTCAGAGAGTGGAGAGCGGTGCGAAGTGAAGATAGCGATGAAAAGTAGAGGGGGACTGGGGAGAGAGGTGCGGGAACGCTTGTAAGAATTCTTAACAAAAGTGCGTTCCGGTATACCAGATCCTGGTATACCCTCTGATTGGTTGATTTTGACAGTTTTTGTCAACAGTGGAGCGTCTTCGATCACAGCGAGAAATGCGATATGGCGATGATGACAGACTCTACGTCCCGTCCAGAATTCGAGCTCGCAACAAACACAGAGCTGAGTGACTTTCCAAACGTGGAGGCTAAAACGCGAAGAGCAAAGGAACTGTTTAAAACACGTAGTCGGCAGGATAGATGTCTTCGCAATTTCACCGACTGGCTTTGGAAAAAGACTTATTTTCCAGCTTTTTCCTCGAATAAAGCGTGCGTTGGAATGAAGGCAGGATAGAATACCATTTACGATTGTTGTGGTAACTCCGTTGATTGCCATCATGAAAGACCAAGAGGAACATTTGAACAAAATCGGAGTAGCGGCGGCAATGATGGGAGAAGATGTGGATGAAGCCGTTAAGAGTGGAAGCTGTGAAATTGTATGATCCTTAAAAATTCACTCAAAGGCGTACTGCAGTCACAAATCGTGGTTGGCTAAGGAATGGACAAAAGGACTTCAAAGGAAAGCTTGGAAAGCAAGTTGCAGCTATCGCTATTGACGAGGTCCACTCAATCATCGAGTAGTAAATTTTCCCTTCGTTTGTTGGGCATTTTCATTGCTCGAGTTAACGATCTGTATTGAAACGGCTTTCTATCGAAATGAGCGATATTTGTTTGTCACTTGATTCATAATTTTTTTGTCACGTACACGCTGAAATCATGTTTTCAAGCCGTAAATAAATTACTTATCCCGTTCTCTATTGTCTGAAAGTCTTACATTAGGTTTTTAGTAAGATTATGTACAGATAATATTAATTTTGATGTGAGAAATTTTGATTTATTCCTAAGAACAATAATAAATGTATGGGGCTGTAGCATCAGTCTTAATTGACAAGTGAAGACCACCTACAGCCGACGCGGTCTGAGTGGGCGGATGAGTCTATTTAAAACAAATCTAACAGGCGTTCCCTCTCTCACCTCCCCCCCTCCCTCGCTTTTATTTTTTAGCGCTCCTTTTTTCTTCGCACCGCTCCCCACTATCTGAACGCCTGGAACAGGCTATATCAAGGTTAAAGATATTATCAATTGATTTTGTGCTCCCTTCGTTTTCCCTGATTAAGATCTTGTCCATCCAATTACACATGCATGCCTAATGCTGGTCTAAACCCAGATCATGGTTACACGACGTTTGACAACATGGGTTGGTCTCTTATTATGGCTCTGCAAATACTAACAAAGGATTTCTGGGAAAATGTTTACAACAAGGTAAGTATATCAATTAAATTTTTTTTGGTGGAAATAAGGAGGAAACTGAAGGAAAGATGCGCGATAAGTCAGACTTCGTCAGATCTACTTCAGGCAGTCAGCCTTGGAAATGTGGTGAAGAATATTTAAGTGACTATCATGATACAAACTATAAACTAACTGGCAAAATTGAACACTTATCATTCCTTTTAGATTAACAGATCATCTGGAGCGCAGTACGTGCCATATTTTGTCATCGGAATATTCTTCTGTGCTTTTTACCTGATGAACCTTGTATTGGCGATGGTTTACTTATCATATGAACAGGAATTATCTTCAGACGGAAAAGAGGTACTTTTAGATACCCTCCAATTCATTCAACATAGGTAGGCCAACTCACAGAGTTCAGATCAGTTCATTTTTTTCCCTTGATATTTTGACTAATGCTAGGTTACAGACTTTATAGATTGATGTTTAATATGAAAGTTTGAGTATGATGGCAAAGTGAACCATTAGGTTTTCCAGTTGGCCACCAGAGAGTGATTATCTACATTACACCCTCGAGAAGGCCTGGATGAAATCGAACTGTATCTTTCTACCAGGCGACTTTATTAGTTGTGACCTGCTGGGCGTCAGAGAGCACACCGAACGTATAGACAGCAACCACAAAACGAGGAAGCTACTGGACCTGTTTGACCTTTTTAATATGGGGAACGTTGTAGATGAACCTACCCGTGTCACATTAACTACACAGTCTTTAAATTGACTTGATTGTGACGACTAAGGTGAACTTAGTCAGTAAAACGGGAGTACTACCGCTTGGTTTATCAGATCACTGCCTTATCTACGCAACTCGCAAGCTAAATAGCGAAACCCGGCACCCACAAATATTCGGACCACAAATTTTAAACATTCAGTAATGACAAGGATTTTAAGTCGGGTGTTGATCGAATACCATTAATCACTGGTCGTGAGGGTATTTCGCCACGGTTACTTGGAGCTGCTGAACATCTATTGCCGTGCCGCTGACTAACCTATATCTACGTAGCTTGAGGGAAACTAAAGTTTATGATGACTGGAAGGCAGCCAGATTAAATCTCGTATTTAAGAACGACGACAAGTCAGATAGAGGAACCTGTCGTGCATTGTCTATGCTAAGCGTTCCAAGCAAAATCCTAGAGTCTTGTGTCACCGACTCTATTGCAGATCACGTCTTTACTCACAATCAGCTGGTAATGGAATATCAGTGGGCCTACCGCAAGGGCCACTCTACTGACTTATTATAAACACACCTAACAGAGACCTGGAGACGCGCCCTAGACTCCAATCTTGTCGCTGGCGTATTATTTATTGACTTCCAAAAGCGTTTGATAGCATTTCTCACCAAATTTCAATCCACAAACTTGAGGATGATTAAGGGATAAAGGAGAACCTACATGACTGGGTAAGAGACTCTCAGAGTGAAAGAAAACAATACACCGTTGTTAATGGAGAACTTTCAGACCAAGCTTACGTAACTTCTAGCGTCCCTCAAGGCTCCGCGTTGGGACTAACACTTTTCGCCCTGTACACCGGCGATCTACCTGAGGCTGTTAGTTCCGCATCTCTCTACATGTGCGCTGACGACACGACTATGTATTTTATAGGTGATTCAGTGGACTCCGTCTCCAACATACTCAATAATGCACTAAAGGAATTAGAACATTGGAGTTCAAAGAACCACCTGGTACCTCACCCTAAAAGTGTGAAGAAATGATTTTACAAGACCCCATAAGCGGCAACGCTCTAATCACCAGCGTGTTGAAATAAGAGTGATTGTATTGTATTGTATTGTGAACTGGATCAGTTGCTTTTTTTTCGCGGCGAAATTCCTCGCGACGAAACTCTCCGCCCGTCGCTAACAAGTTTGACAATTGTTGATGAGTTAAACCAAATCTCGTCACTTTTCCTCCCAAATGTTGATACAGAAACTCCTAAGACAGCCAAAGCAAGGAGTAAACGCTCTGATAAAGGACCAGTGCTCAAAAATGCTCTCCTATCTTTACCTTATTAGTCAGCGCTGCTTTGTGCAGTATACATACATACATACATACATACATGCACTTTATTGCGACTCCTCTATACGGGGCTCTTCTGTCGTAATATACATTAATAACAAATATACAATAATAAAATTACAATGGGGCAAAAATGCTTACATCTGTTACAACAAGAAATATTTACACGAGTTTATATACAGTCATAAAAATTTGATTCAATCTAAGAAGAGTTTCCAAGAAAGTGGGCGGCGACTTTCATTTTAAAACTTGAGATATTGTTTAAGTTCCGAATGTTTTCTGGGAGTAGGTTGTATTCGTTTGCCCCACGAAAGGCGAAAGAGCGTTGACCAGTTGATAATCTACTTTTAGGTAGATTCAACTGTGACATGTTTCTAATGTGCGTCCTGACACACTAAATCTATCATGAAATAAATTGCAAAGATAAGGTGGTGCCTGATTTGTTCTACACTTTTGAACCATAGTAACAGTATTTAATAGAAGTTTTTGACGGACGCCTAGCCAACCAAGACATTCGCGCGCAGCAGACACATGATCAAATTTTTTTGATACCTAGGATTATTCTACAAGCAAAGTTCTGGATAAGTTGAAGCTTTGAAATGTTTTTGCTGGAGGTACTAACCCATACGCTAGAACAAAAAAGCCTGCTAAAAATAAGAGCCTTTATAATCAAAGAAAGTGTTTTGAGGTCCAAATGATGTTTAATCCTATTGATACGACGTAGATAATAAGGCAGCTCGAGGTCAAGTTATGGTATATTCTACATCTATATCAATTTGTTCCCAAGGGTGGTGCGGCATCAGTGATGATTGACCAGATTGATTATCATGGTGTTATGACACGAGATTGAAAACCGTTCTATTTATTCGGCAGAGTAACTCTCTTACGTTGTGTTGTTTTGTGTGCATTATTTATTAGGGTAAAAAGATGGATCAGCGACGGACTGGTTGTTCGTATCAAGCAGACAAGCAAACACTGAAGCGTCTTATTCTATTAGATAGAAACCGAAGGCCTCCATCAGGAGATGAAGCCAACGAGTGTGGTAACGTACCTACGGATTCGCGCGCGGAAAAGCGCCCTGAATCACGTCACCACCTTATAACAGGCAGGGAATTAACACAAAGGTCTGAGAAGACCAAAGTAACTAGCAAGGCTCTGTCTCACATAAAATCCTGTTGGAAAATGGTACGAAAGTGTATGCACCAAATCACGTCCCATTCTACCTTCGATTTCGTGATTCTACTGCTGATAGTTTTGAACACAATTGTTCTGGCAATGTATTACCATGGTATTCCTGCCCAGTTTAGGCGCGTCTTGGATATTTTGAATTGGGTGAGTAAAACTTAGTGATTGTTGACTATGGAACTGGGATAACAAATCTAACTGTAGATTTATTAGACAGCTCCAGGTGTAGGTAAGTATGGACCACCTGTGATCATTCTGATAATCTTAACCTTGCTAGCTGTAGCAGCCTGTCCTAGAGCTGCCCTTGGGGTTAAACGATTACAAAAAATAGTGCGGTCGGGTTTGGTCAATAGGACATAAGTACTACTGTAAGATGGTCTGTCTTGCAGGCTATTTTTATGAATGAATCAGTAAATCACTGAGGTTCGAAAATACGACATCAATGTCTTTTTTCTTTGCTAAATAGGTATTCACTGGGTTGTTTACGACTGAGATTCTGTTTCGTGTGGTCGCTATGGGACCAACAGCATTTGTCCGCGATCGATGGTACTTGTTTGACACAGCTGTTGTGGCAGCCAGCTTACTGGGATATTTAATAGATGCTGAAGGACTTAGTATATTTAGAACCTTTAGAATGGTAAGCATACAGGAATCATTTCATTCAGAACGAAAAAATTTTTAAGGTCTGTTGGCGATTTATTTTGCTGAAAAAGATTTTTGTCTGGTAGCATGGTACAATTGAAAAAGATCTACGTTGACAACTTTGAACATTGAAGATGTCAATATTTTGATGACTTTTCAGTTATGACAGCTAACATGTTCGAAAAGAAAACCAAGGAAAAGTTAAAGGATAAAGTTAAAGGATCGCAAGTAATTGAAAATCCTGAGACGAACTTCGTACCGTTATGTTTGTAACTGAAGTTTAATGATCTGGTTTTAACGTATTTTCATGTAATACCGTGCAAGCTTCTGTGTGCTCACAAAAGATTAACTCTCTCCTGTTTAGGTACGACTCTTACGTTTGGCGAAGTCCTGGAAGACGATGAATAGACTAATGATGGCCATTGCTAGAAGCATAGGACCTGTGGGCAACATCACACTTATTCTTGGTGTAATTATCTACATTTTTGCTGTCCTAGGAATGAAGATATTTGGCAAGGATTATAAAATGGATAAGTTTGGTGATAGTGGAGTGCCACGCTGGAATTTTAGTGATATCTGGCACGCTTTCATGATGGTTTTTCGTGTGCTAAGCGGGGAGTGGATCGAGCCTCTCTGGGACTGCATGAGAGTCACAAACGCTGCCAAGGCAATCCCTTACTTTCTAACAGTTCTCGTCATTGGAAACTTTCTGGTGAGTAGCATTTGTGAGTGAGAAAGGGATTGACTACTTTGCTTAGAATGAACAAACACTAAGTAAGGTCATGCCCAGATTGAGAAACTAAGAATATGGCAAAATAACTGGCTGCCTGGATCCACTTACTCCTTCCGTAAATAATTTTTCAATCTTAAAATTATGTAAAAGCTTATTGAGTGCGGCATATTTTACACTTCATCAAATACAAGCGAAGATAAACTGTATGGCACAGGGAATGACTTTATTTAACTTATAGATTCATGGGTCTCTGTTCTGATACAGCGTGTAAGTTCTGATCATCTTGTTCTTTACCAGGTCCTCAACTTGTTTGTCACTCTAGTAGTGAACGCCTTCGACTTCCGAGACAAAGATGACAATTCAGATGGCGTAGATGGTGCAAAGTTTAGCATAAAAAAGATATTTAAAACACGCAGGTCCTGCCTTTTGGAGGAAAATTATCGTGGGTCTTTTCGTCCTTGTAAGCTTGAGGTTATAGAGAGTAAACACCCTGATGAGCAAAGCAATGGCGTTTCCTTGGCAATACACGCAGGAGATCAAGACGGCAAAGAATACTGTAAAAGTATAGAGATAATATATTTCTTTTACCAAGAAAACATATTTTTAATTGGAGTGTACATCTAAGGGAGTTTTCATTTGATTATTTTAGTATACTTTCTAAATCAACTTTTTTGTTGCCCGTTCATATACAATAGCGGCCATGAATTTGTCTTTGTCTATACACCATCCAAATTTTCAATTTTGTATAATTTCCAGCTACTTCCTTTCGTCGACTTACAATACATTTTGTTTTATTCATTCAAACTACTACTAAGGGCCTGTTTACGTGAAGGTGGGGGACCCCAGGTAGGTGAGGTAACATGTGGCAGGTTACCCCACGTGATCACATTAAAATGAGAGATTGTATGGACAGGCGGGTTACCCCACCTAAGAGGGTTACCTCACCTACCTGGGGTCACCCACCTCCATGTACATGTAAACAGGCCCTAAGCCTAATCTAAGGGCCTGTTTACATGGAGTGGGGGACCCCGGTCTAGTGGGTCGGTCTAGTCTTTTGTTTTCACGCTCTGGGGGACACAAAACAAAAGAAACTTACCCCACGAGACCGGGGTCCCCCACTCCATGTAAACAGGGTCTAAATGGAAGATTTTGAAACTCAGAAAACCATGACCTACGAAAATATTTCTGGAATGTTATTGTGTTGCAAGGAAGAAGCCGATCAGGCGTGAGAAAACTAAGCGGTATTCAACAACGGCAGTAGTGTTGTGACATACTTGCGTGTAACTAGTTTTGTTTAGTTTTATCTTTAGTAATCACGGTTTTCTGGGTTGACAATATATACCAATCAGAAACGGAGAAATATTTTGAATGAATAATATTGTGTAAGGCAGTGGGTTAGTGGTGGGTCTGGGTTTGGACATATGTCCTCAATGATACTAGCCTCCCGCGCAGGCGTTTTTAGGGGAGTTCGTATTTCTTCCCTCTCCACAAACGCCTGCTCAGCCGAGGACAATATTCCTTTCCCATTGTTATATTCGCGTGGTAAGTGACCAATCAACAATTTTGAAGTAAAGTGTTGACAGGCTAAACACAACTCATAAGCTCGTGATAGTAGTGTAAAAACGTGACTCAGAACATGACCCTAGAGTTACCTTTTTCCTTTTTTTTCTTTCCTTCGCTAAGGTTATGCAGTGCACGGAGAATTCTAAAATCTGACTGAACAAATCTTACTTTTGCCGCTCTGAGTCGAACATTTATTAGAGGTCACGAAGCTTTCTCAAAGTCTCACGCAGATCGGGTAATTATCGGGTTACCCTGCGGTCAAGGTCAACTTTCCAGAATTTGGAAAGTACAACGTGATAGGCTAAGCGTGGGAAAGGAATGTTGTCCTCGGTTGAGCAGGCGTTTGTGGGGAGGGATGAAAAACGAGCTCCCCTAAAAACGCCTGCGTGGGAGGCTACAATGATACCGGCCATCTTTTTATTATGTTCAAGATAACCTTTAATACCTATTTTAACGTCCATGAATTAAGCCGGGATATTCCAAACTAAAAAAACAGTTTATTTTATTTCAGCATTTCTTGACATTTCTTTTTCATCCTTTTTTTTTTTATCTATCCAGTAATGATTCTGAATTTGATGGGACATGCTACATTTGACATTCTTTTTCGAAATAAGCATTATCATACATGAAAAACATTGCTATAGTTTCAATTTTATTAATTTTCCTCTTTCTACGCAGTGTTAGACAACGTTATCAACATTGAGAGCTCAAACAAAACAATCGGTGAAGGTGCGAGTTTTAAGGATGGCGTTGATTCTCCTCCCAGTTTCAAAATGGAACGTATAAAAGAAGGGATTTCTGAAAATGGTGTGGTAACATTAAAGCCGGTTCCTTCGGTTAAAATCAAGGAATTATACATAGAGGACTGCCTCCCTGAGTACTGCGCATGTGTAGACTGTCAACTGTGCAGGCCTTTATCTACGGAAAGCATTTCCTGGCTTAAGTTCCGCGGCCGGGTACTAATTTTTGTGGAAAAGAAATACTTTGACTGGTTTATTCTCTTCATGGTGCTTTTCAGCAGTTTTATGCTGGTAGGTCGATTTATGCTGTGCATCTTTTAAGATCCTTAAAATGATTTACTTCATAGAAGTTACTTTGGCCTTTTCAATTTTTTTATGATTTCATTCCTTTTATTGCAGCTGGGGGTCAGGGTGGGAGTTCAAGTACCCTGTTCCGCCCGGGACACCCGGAAGTGCAGCGTTCTGGCCACTTAGCCACGCTGAGATATTTGCCCAAAAGCTATCTAAATGCAATATCTTCAATCGTAAACACTACTGTAAATGGAAAATGCTTACAAAGGTCTTATTGAAACTTGTAGGTTTTTGAAGACGTTAATCTACATAAAAGGCCAAATCTCGAGAAAACCTTGGAAATACTCAACTACATTTTTGCATGCGTCTTTACGCTAGAGTTCCTACTTAAAGCCATAGCTTTTGGCCTCACCAAGTACTTCGCCTCTCCTTGGAACTGTCTGGATGCCTTTATCGTCTCAGTGAGTAGAATATGATTTGTTAAGCTCACTACCTACTGTACAAAAATTTGCATAAAGGCTGGATAAACGCATCGCTGATAGTATGTGTTTTACCTCACAGATTTCACTCGCCTGCCTATTTGAGAACAAGAACTTGTCTGTGTTTCGTTCCCTACGTACATTACGAGCATTGAGACCACTCCGGGCCATCTCACGACTGGAGGGAATGAAGGTAATCAAAACTTGCCAGCAAAATCTCCCAGGGGAATTGAATTAAGTCATGTTGTTGCAATAAATTATCGATTTATATTAAGTCTGTTTCTTGAAACAATAGCGATGGTAATTTATGTAACAAAAGAATACAAAATGATGTGGTCTTCCTGATCAAAAACATGCCCAAGCCATGCTATCAAAGAGTTTGTCCTGTTTAGTTAATAAATCGAATGCAATAGCTTTTTGATGATGACCATGTTATTAAACAGACCGCCCAAAAGCACAACACAGCGATTGGCGATTCACCATTCCTTTGGTTTAATCCCCGTAGAAATCGTAGCCAGTTAAAAGTAAAGTAAAACTTAGTTTATTTCATGACTACTAAATCTCATGTGCATTAAACACTGTTTGTATTGTCTTTCTTAAGGTAGTGGTGAATGCGCTCTTTGCTGCTATACCAGGTATTGCGAATGTCCTGGTGGTTTCCGTTCTCTTCTGGCTGATATTTAGCATTCTTGGCGTTCATTTGTTTGCCGGAAAGTTCTACAAGTGTGTGGATGAAGACAACGCCCAGTTACCTGCCAGTGTGATCGCCAGTAAAGCAGAATGTATGAACCGCACCATAGACGGTTACCGCTGGATCAACTCCAACGTGAATTTTGATAACGTCTTGGCAGGCTTCCTTGCATTGATGCAAGTAGTACGTTACCACTTGTTTTTCTTTTTCTTTTTGTTTTTTGGCCTTAACTTCTGACTAATGACATTTACACATGCTACCATAGGCACCAAAGTGACCGTGCGTTTAGAAACCTAAACACATGCCTTTAAAACTGGAGTTAGGTTATTTTGTGTTAAGGGTATTGCATTAATTGTCAGTACCCCGGGGTCAGTACAAAGTGCTGATAATATTATAGGCGTTCTGGGTGAATAGCACACAACTAGAATTTGAAAACAAGCGTGGACTATTAATATGAAGATAGGAGGAAAATGCTTTGAACCTAAACAAACCTGCAGTATATTTTTCCCTTACGAGAATGAATCTACGTCATAGGTGTCGCTGTGGCGTTTCGAAAACATTCAGTTGTGTTTCCGTTTTCAAGGGACACTAAGCGGGACCTTTCGTCTACGTAATTAGCGCTCATTCTGTTAGGAGTACAATGTACTTAAGTAGCGACGTCTCTAGCTGAAATTTGTGCTTATATGGCGTGTTTTAGGCTACTTTTGAAGGTTGGATGGAAGTTATGAAGGACGCAGTGGACTCGACTAAGGTGAGTATCAAGTTCTTCTTAGAGGAACATAAAATTGTTGCGCTTGTTAAACTAAAGTAAAAATTTAGGCCAATTTTTCTTATCGGAGCTGATACGACCTAGTACAGATCTCCTCATTTTCCATACAATTATTTAAAAGGGGCGAACACTATCCTGATTATGATCATGGTGTTACCTAGCCGTCTTTTAACTGGATGGATAGCTCCTGCCATATACAACGTGAAGCATTTAGAGCTGTGGGAACAACCCTTAGACATAAGGTCCCCTGGCTGTTTTTGCAAGGGCGCCCCAGGAGTTGTATACATGTTCTTTTGGCGTAAGATCAGGTAGTTTGAAGTTTTCTGGTTTCACCTTTTATCGACTGATATTATAACATGGTGTCAGGAGTAGGTTTTTCCAGACGAACTGCAAGGTGGGTTGACGCTGCAAAACGCTCATGATGATTGCCGTATATTCGACGCAGCCAAACTCCAGCAGTACGTGTTTAACCCATAAACACTTACTGGTACCGAACGTTCACTTTACCCGCCTCTTAGAAAACTCAAAGTTCAAGCACTCATTTACTCAGCCACCTCTCTGCCTTGCACTTGGAAAAAATGCGACAAATGTAACGAGGCCACCTTGCACAGGTGTGCAAAGAATTAAATGCTGAAGTGTATTATTGGACTATGAGCTTTCGCTCAATAACGATGTGCACATATTTTGGATCTCTTGTGCTGGATAGTGTATCGGGCACTCGGAAGAAAAAAATTGCGTTAAAGGATGTACAGCGGATCAAAGCAGTATCTGGTTCAGAAGCTACAGTCATTTCTTATTAGCTGTACAAAGAAGAAAATTCAGCAATCTTTGGAGGGGTGGATTGCATCTAAATCCATTCATCCAAAGTGCTGTGTGAGGCTTTCAACTCAAAATAGGAGTCGAGGTATAAACCTGTTGTATCTTGTCGGTAAAGGAAACTTTACACCATTGCTGGGGTGTGATACTTGTTAAGACATAGAAGTTCTCGAGTTTACGAATCTCGAACTGATAGATACTCCACAGTCAGAAATTAAGAACCATCTGTGCAAGAAACGCCAGGCCAGGTGTTTTCCAAACTGATTTTGTGTTGCGGGACTATGAAGATTGTTTTAGTAATAAGTACATTTGTAAGCTGATCCCTTGAAACATCTGGTAGTACGCCCTCCCAGGAAAAATTGCCCTCTTTGAACCAGCGCGAAATGGAAGGATGGAAGAAGGTGGGACTACTGTCAAAGAAGAGAAACACTCCCCGTAAGTTTTATCTATACTAATAGTTGACAAACGAAAAGTAAAATAGAAGAACCCTCCACCATCAAACAATGATCTTCGAATTTGTATTGACCCAAGGAACCTAAAAAAGCACTAACTTGAGATACCACACTATTCAATGGTTACGGGGAAGGAGGAATTTGCGGCTAACCGACTTTCATGTGCTAAAAGTTTCATTTCCCTTGATGCATGCGGTGAGTACTAACAACTGCGACTTCATGATAAAAGCGCAAAGCTCTTAACATTCAACATTCATGAGATCGATATCTACCGGAGTTGGTGGAAAATTCCTCGAAGGGGATCCTGCGGAGATTATAGTGGACGATTTCCCGATACTTGGTGAATATCAACAGAAGCTGACCAGAAGTTGAGAACAGTACTGGATAGGAGCAGAGAAGTAGGACTGAAGTTCAACTCCCAAAAAGTGAAACCTCGGTTTCCCGAAGTAAGCTATGTTGAACATTTATTTTGTTCTTAGCCGAATAACAGTCCCTAATAAAGTTCGAGCAATCAGTGAGATGCCTTCTTTTACTGGAAAAGGTGTGCTTTGAATTCTAGGAACTGCATTACCTGGGCAAGTTCATTGAGCAAAAGGCTAGGCTAATCTACAGAGACCTAGAAATGTGTAGCATGTGTCTGGGAGTAACCGCAATGGTCATCACTAGTACCCCTGTGTTATCTTACTTTGATAACAGGAAAGAGACAGTTCTAAGTGTTGATGCCAGTAGCATAGACAATGGCCGGGGAAACCAGTTGCTTTCCGTTAAGAGTCGTTGACTGCCTCTGAGAAGCTGTAGGCAAATATTGAAAAAGAGCTGCTAGCTATTGTGTGGGGAGTGCGAAAGATTTACTCGTGTGTTCGGTAGAGAGAGTTATTGTCGAGATAGATCACAAAACGCTCTAGTCAATCGTAGCCACTGAATGAGGCCCCTCCCAGAATACAGAGGGTGCTGCTGAAAGCCACCAAGTATGACCTTGAGGTATGCCGGCTATGTACCAGGAAAACAGCAGATCATTTCAGATTGTCTTAGCAGAGCCCTTCTCAGTGAAAATAGACCAGTCAGCGAACATATTTTCGGAGTAAAAATCTTGTTGAGGAAATTTGATTCGAAAGCAGCACCCTGAGAAAATTCAAGGACAGCTCAAGTACACTTCCTCGAGAATACTGGAATTTCAGGGATGAGCTGAGAGTAGAGGATGGCGTTTTACTTAAACCATTGTGAGATAAGTTACATGAAATTCACAGCGCATATATAGAAGAGAACAAGAGCCTTTTATTTGCCTGGAATTTTATTTCCTGGCTTTCAATGACTGCCCAGATCAAGGACAAAGTAGTTCCTGTCGAGCTTTAAATGCGTTCCGCAACTAAGAACATAGAGAGACAATATACCCCAACAATATTCCAGGCTTACCTTGACAAATTGTTGGAACTGGCGGCTGTTAATGTGACAAATCGTACCTGGTAGTTACCGACTTTCAAGTACTTTGAAATCACCCCGCTTGGGTAGACCACAGCCACTTGTGTCGTCAACAACTTGAAGAGTATATTCAATCAAATGAAGCAGCAGAAAGGGCTGCACGGACTGCAAAACGCATTCTTAGGAGGACTGCAGCAGAAGATAAAGCTGATCCATTTAAGGGACTGTTGAAATATCGCAACTCACTATTTGAATATATTGGCGTATCTTCTGCACAGTTGCTGATGAGGTCGACGACCACGAACGATGATACCAACTCATCGGCGTCTCTTGGTTACCTCAGCAGATGGATCGTGATCGTGTTCTGAAAACTCTTCATAAGCGACGGCGAAGTGCCAAGTCTAGTTAACACAAGCACATTAGCGATTTGCCTCCACTTGTAATTGTGCACAAGGCGCGATTTTGTCCGAATAGTGAAAGGAAATGGTGTAAAACTGAAGTACTGCCAAGATCTTACCTACTGGAAGACTAATATGGGCTTTCTCACTGGAAAAATAGAAGGCAGATCATCTCAGTTGCAAATGATTGTCCCATGACTCCAAGACCAAGTTTTTTCCTCCTACACGTGGACAGCACGGTGACTCTGTTCCTAGTCCAATGGCAGCTGAATCGGAGAAGCAAGCGCCAAGTCCAGTGAAATGAGAATCGAGTCCGACAGAAACTGTTTCACACACACCCATTACAAACAGATCTGGGCACCAAGTTAAAAGGTGACAAAGACTCATTTAAATTATTCCTGTTAGGGGAGATGATGTAACATTTCAGCCTTTGGGATCCCCCTTAAGACATACGGTCCCCTGACTGCTTTACGCGAGCACCCCGGAAATGGGCTAACATGTGCCTGGTGTGAGAGTGACTTGATCTTAAACATGGTCGAGTAGTTTTAAGTTGTGTAGTTTTGCCATTTATAGACTTACATTACAACACTCTTTTTTTATATCATACAATTTTTACTAGCCTTACGTTTTGGTTACTAGTTCGTCACCGTAGTATTTATAAATTTATCATTATCATGATGGCTTTTTTTAAGGTTGCGAGATGACTCTTTGTCATTTGCATTTTATCGTTGTAACGTATGTAACTGATAAATGTACTTCCTCCCAGGTGGACAAGCAGCCGAAGTTTGAGAACAACTTGGTGGCGTACTGCTTTTTTGTTGCTTTTATCATCGTGGGTTCGTTTTTTGTGCTGAACCTGTTTGTAGGGGTCATTATTGACAACTTTAACACCTTAAAAAAGAAGGTAAAGTATCCTTCGTTGTTTTTTCCCAAACCTAGGTAGGTAGGACCTTGAAGACTCTCCCCTTTATTTAAAAAAGTGATAGAATTGAACTGAAGAAAAAGGTGCATGTAAGGGTTGTCTTGGGACAAAACGATGTGAATGTGCGATTTGCTTTATTCGAAACATTGACACATCTACATCCATTTAAAACAAAATAAACATTAGTAATTTCGTCATGAACGTGAGTGGTGCCCGAAACATTTTTCTCAATGCGCATGTCTCTTGCCTCCATTGATCGTGCTGCTGCGAGCCCTTCGATGAACTGGAAAATATTTTGATGACGTAATAACTGAATTAACACTCCTTCTTTCTTGAGGAAATAGACCAGAGGTGCTTCTTGACCTTCCACGGGGAACGGTTGAAAGTATTAGAGATACAACTTCACAGAAACATGACCAAAACACAACAAGAATGTTGAGCTTTAGAATGTCACATGATGATGAGTGTACATGTTACGATTGATACAAATTTATGTTAACGGGCAGGCAATTCAGCTGCAGTTAGCCGAGCAGGCTCGCTTGGCCGGTGTTTTTCATCCTGATATTAGCTCGGATTCCACATAACCGGATTGGCCGGGTTTTCATGCAGTCACTAATAAATTATATTTCTGTTGCGTTTAATTGGCGCGCTGCGATCTTTTCAAAGCGAACCAGCCCGGAAACCGGGCCAGCCAGACTCATGTATTCAGTCCCTTAACGTCATTCGTGAGGTCTTCTTTTTTTAGAGTGGACAAAAACCAAAGAGGCCATTAAGTTTTACCCCCCTATGCTGTGAATAAAAATATTTCAATAAACATTGGAAACCAGCGAATAATTTGTCTACCTTATTTATTCTGGGCGCTCTTACGTACGAACTGTTGTACTTTAATTTTCAATCTTAGTACGAGGACATCAGCAGCATGGGTATGTTGCTGACCGATTCACAAAGAAAGTGGGTCAGTTTTCTTAAAGAAGCCGCCAGAAAGAAACCACCTTCAAAGGAGATTCGACCTAAGGTACTAGCTACTACAGTATAGATATACTTATTTTAGGATTCTAAGCATGGCAAAGATGGCTGAAAATACTCACCATGACATAGCCCCTTTAAAAAGTTGAAGACGGTATTGTTGGTTGAGGAATAAAACACTTGATATCATCTATACAACTACTTTTCCGGATGCCCAGAGCCAGGCCTCTTACCGTGCTTTTTTATGTGTATTTGATTATATGTTCCACAGAAAAGATTGATCGGCCTGCTATATGATGTGGTAACGGGGGATAAATTTGAAGTCGCCATTATGACAGTGATAATGTGCAACATGGTCATGATGATGATTCAACATTATAGACAGTCCTCCCAGGTCACCACCGTACTTCATATCCTTTTGCCACGACAAGTTTTTTCATTTGTTTTCTTTTTCCTTAAAAAGCGGTTTTTAATTTATATAATTCATTTAATCTGTGCGATCTTATATCCACTTGTATAGGACACAAATTTCTATTAAAGTTGCTCTTGGTTGAAGTTAAAGTACTAAACTTTCCGTTCATGCTTGAAGTGAAGTCCACGGACACATAAAAGGCAGAGTATAAATATAATTATCAAACGCCTAACATCGTTTTGAGAGAAATGTTAGTATTTCTTTTTACAGTTGGGTAGTCCCAAATCTCTGCCAAGTCCCAGCTAAACTTTATCATATTCTTGCCCACGAAGTGACAGTAACCTCTGGTGATTCCTGCACGTTCCATCACAAACAGGCAGAAGATTAAGACGTTACCCACGTTTATTTATTCCAAAACAAGTAAATGAGTATCGAAAATGCTAATTTAGTGCTTCCTCTAATACCCAGATTTCCTAAAAATATTTTGTGGTCAAAACCTCAATTATAATAACAATCCGCAGAATGAGTAACACGGTAAGCTACAGAATTATATAAATACTTTCCTTAACTCATGATCACGTGTATCCAATTTTATCTTCACTGGTATCTTTGTTTTGGAAGCCATACTAAAGGTTATTGCACTGAAGCAGCATTACTTCAAGAAAGCTTGGAATGTGTTTGATTTTATTATTGTTATCAGCTCTATTGTGGGTACGTATATCCTCCATTGTCATCATAATTGTTGAAATTTATCACCGTTCTTAAAAGTTAAAAACAAACGCAATTACGATTCTCAGCTCTTTCCTCATTAAAAACAACATTTAAATGTACATGTTATTTGCAGGCCGGATGGTCGGTATAGAAAAAAAAGAGACCGGCTGGTTGAGGCAGCATGGCCGCCCTTTTTTTACATTTTTTTACGAGTTTTCCCGACTGATTACTACGAAATCTCCTCATTTAATCCCTTGACAAGTCGGGTTTGGTTTGAGATGCGTCAAAAATGTCTGTACTAAATTTTTCTCCCCAAGAGTTGTTTGAGTGGATACGGGATTAATCTAGTGAATTGTTTTGCTGCAGACTGACTAAAAAACTGGTTTACGTCTTTACAGAGATCATACTTGAGGAGGTAAATGTGAATGAAGATATGTTCAGCCCCAGTCTTCTTCGCGTTCTACGCATCTTTAGAATTGCCAGGCTTCTAAGGCTGGTGGAGTTTGCCAAGGGAATACGTCAGCTCTTGTGGGCACTTATGATCTCATTACCAGCTCTCTTCAACGTAGGTGCACTTCTTTTCTTGGTGATATTTATCTACGGAATCATCGGCATGTCAGCGTTTGGACATGTTAAACAAGAAGGCGGCTTAAATGACCTTGTAAACTTCGCGACTTTTGGTAGTTCGTTGTCATTACTCTTTCGTTTGTCAACTGGCGCGGGATGGAATGACGTTATGGATTCCTTGCTACTGAAACCGCCAGACTGTGATCCTAACTACATGAATCTTCCCCATGGCAATTGCGGTTCCTTTGGCGCTATTCTTTACTTGGTCAGTTACATCGTAATTGTTTTCCTTATCATCGTCAACATGTACATTGCTATCATTCTCGAAAATGTGTACCGTGCTCACGAGATCGAGGATTTCTGCATCACTCAGGAAAACTTTAACAGCTTCTATGTTTCGTGGGGGGAGTTTGTTCCTGACGGTAAGGTATATCTTCCGTTAGCTCAGCTGTCGGAGTTCGTTGCTACTCTGAAGAAACCATTCAAACTTCCAAAACCAAACACTGAAATGTTAGGAGAGATGGACATACCGTTGAGGTCAGGAGAGGTTGTACACTGTTTTGACCTGCTGAAGGTGCTAGTTAAACATGTTTTGGAAAAGCATGGTGAATCTCCTGAAGTTTTTCAGGAAATTACTGTGAAAATGGAGGCTAGATTTAACAAATCATTCCGCGTAAAGAAGGCGAAATTGTCGATAACTGGTTCTACTAAATCGAAATTATCTGAAAGTGTGCGCGAGACTGACCTTTGAGCATTGTTCTTAGTGTGAGTTAGTTCATGATCAGTCTGTGTAGCCTGCAAGTCTTTTCAGTTTCGACAAGGTCGGAGTTTAGGCTGGAAAAGAGGAAATTGAAAGAGTATTCTTTAAGAAGGGGAACTTGGGCTAACACGTGGACAAAGCTGCTCATTATTAAGCAGATGGATGTAAAATTTAGGCCAAGGCCAAACGTCGCCGAACTTTTCATGAGAGGAACCAAACTCTAATTTGCACATGCATCACGCTTTAATTTTTTTGCACATTTCTTTGTCGTCGTTGCACGACCACGACGTCTGAAACTGCCTAATTTCACCCTTTTTTTTTAAACTCAGATAGAGTCTTTAAGAATTCAAGTACAGAAAAATTTACCAACTTCTACAACTGTAAACGACAGGGAATAAAAGCGCTGAATTTTAAAACAGCGTGAATTCAATTTTAAGAGAAGTTCTCGCCATGCACCTCCGTCCTCGTTTTTGGTTCAATTCCTAATATTTCAATGAATAGGACTTTTGTTCTACATTCTCAATATTTCTTTAAAAAGTGTGTAAATATGCATGTACCGCTTATATGCCATTTTTTTGCATTTTAGAAGGAGCAGCTAGAAATTGTGACTGAAATGTCAAACAAATACCGGAGGGTATGTGCACCCCGGAAGTGATGTACTAACCATAATGCTTAGTAAGAATATTTCAGGAGTGAAAGGAAATCATATTGAAGCTTATTTGCTGTCCTAGATACTTTCATATAGGATAAAACGATAAATTTACGTTAAAGTTTACTAAAGAAGTGACAGTAAGATTTGTGTTTTTTTTAAAGTTTTAAATGTTTTGATGTCCAGTTTTTCTAGTCGGTAATAGTTAAGTATTTTGAAAATCAGCTCCGCACAAATTCAAAAGTGGCTATTTGCAACGAGAGCAACTCTATTCTCCTACCCATAATTTTATTGACGTTTCTGTGCCCTCATTTGACTACCCAATTCCACGATTCTACTTTAGTTATTTAGAGGCCACCATTTTTGTAAAAAAAACAGAGACTACCTCCACGAGGTAGTCTCGGCACCCCTAAAAGTTGGGGTACCACTTTGTTTGATACCGATGCGTGTGGACGTGGGTAATTGCTCGAACCGTGCCGAAACTTTGCAAGCATGGTGCCAAAATATGTGGTGTTCTGGCCATATTTTTTGCTTGTGTAAATGGGCTGAAAAGTGACTTTTCTACTGTACCCTAAAATGTAAAATTGCTTGAACTCAAGTCTGTATTTTGTTTAACGTTACGTCTTTTCAAGTTTACAAAATACAAAATAACGATAACAAAAACGTGGAATAAAATTTTAAGGAATGGCTTCAATATTTGAAAAAGGATATGTGTCATTTGTTTTAAAAGAATGGCATCAAGCATACAAGGCTTGTCTGTCTTGTCGACGTAATTATAAAGCGATCAATTAGCAAGTTCATATGCCCTTTAGAATACCAAGTTGAAACTCACTTTACAACTGCCATCCCAACCCACCATTATATTCCACGATTTTTCCCAAAAGATGTAGGCTCGAAAAATATAAAGTTCTAGATAATACGACAAGAGGAGGACTACAATTTCAATGTCCCTACTGCATAGAGGAGTCAAGCTCTGCCCTTATGGTAAACCGCTACTCCAAGGACGTTCTATCGATCCTGAGAGCAAAGGCCCCGACAAGCATTCGCAGTTGAAGATATTTTTCCTTTCGTAGTATATATACAAAATTGGTACAGAACTCCGTAAACTGTTCAACCAAGATTCTCCCTATTAGCTATTATAGAACAAACCATTGTTTTCCGTCTGGCATACACTGTATGGTAGCCTGCGTCGCAGACGTAGTTTAACCTCGGTAAGTAACGTCTGCGAACCACTGCCAATATCCTTGTTCTGGGCCCCCAACGGATTCAACGAATTGCCGGGAGTGCGTTTCGAATTTCCTTTCAACCTGATTGACAAATTGACAGTCGTTTTTTTTAACAGGCCAATCATCGCGCATACTCAAATCCTCAGTGGTACACAGGTGGGGCCAAGAACAAGGATTTCGGCGCTGTTTCGCAGACGGACGTTACCAGAATTTAGTTTCGTCTGTGGCGCAGGCTAGCGTATGGAGGAAAAACAGAAGAATTCAAATAGTTGTCTAAATCAGTTTCCAAGATCATTTAAACTCAGTAACGGCAAGAGACCTGGGATAAATTGCCCCACTACTGATTGTGCCAAATGTCTTTTTAATAAATCAAAAATTACACCTTTAATGTCTCACAATACAATCCACGCAATATTTTAAAATTTAACAGAAGTAGTGTACTGTCATTGGAATTAAGCCTCTTTGGTGTCTGGTTGGTATCTAGCAAGGTCAAGTCACTATCCTCTTGCATACTAATTAAGTGCCTAGTCAGTGTCTAGTAGTAGGTGTCTAGTAGTTGCCTTCCTGCATACTACTTCGGTATAGGTTTACTAAATGAGCGTCTGTCTACTACAATAGAAATAACCTGAGATCAGGCTCAATTTTCGTTTCGCTTTGTAATAACATTCCGGCTGGCAAGGCGAAACGAAAACAATTTTAGCGGTAGCCGTTAGAGAGAATGTATGAGAACCGCTAAAATTGGGCCTGATCTCAGATTACAATAGAAACAATAGGTTTGCTTAGGCTTGCCCGGTCTCTTTTAACCCTGATTGGCTCATGTATAATCTATTTTGTTTTCGACATAAAGGCGGCCAGTTTTTGAAAGCGCTATCTTTCTTGCAATCGCTTTGCCAAGGAAATATTTGTCCGGGGTCGTTTGTTTGAGAAAACCTTTTTCCTTCTACCACTATGGCTTTCGTTACCAATGTTGATGAGCTTTAAGCTCTTTTGAACGCCTGTTCCACTACACGCGAATGGGAAATATTCTATTTAGCGTTAATAATCGGATATATAAACAAAACACAGACACATATACACAAAGTGGAGCTGAAAACTCTCTACTTCAGTTTTGACTGACTATTACAAAACCGTTTTGATCTTCGGTCTCCCCTTTAGAAGGGGAATAACCCTCTTTGATGTAATTTCTCTCCTCGGGGATCTGGTGATCGCATATAGGACAAATTTTGTAGTAGTATCGTGCCAAGAGCATTTACGACATTTCATGATCAATGTTCCGCACACATTAGAGTTCTCGCAGTGTTCAAAGGGATTTTCAGAGTGAAAAGTGGTGGACGTTTCAGGGCTACTACTTTCTGTTTCCTGACTGTAGTTTTCAGTGTCCTTGTCGCTCTCTTTGGAGTCATCTTCAACGCCATTCTCAGAAGCCACTTCCTTGTCTTCTAAATTTCGTCCTCCACCTGCTCCTCCTGATTTTCAACTCTCATCATTATTACTCTCGTTATCGGAAGTATTTTCGGCATTTCGGTAGCCTTTTTCCTTTTCTATTAAATCGTTAAGCAACTTTTTGTTCTTGCTTAAACCTCACAAGTCCATCCAGAAAAGTATTCAGAGCACGAGGTTTGGTAACGTCATTGGTATGTGGGAGTAACACATACTCAAGTAGCTCGGCGATGTTTGTTACGGGAATAACGGGTTTATTTGGAATTAATTGTCCGTGAGGAGTCCAGAAAAGAATATCTTTGGAAGCGGCCATAGTACGAAGCAAACCAGAAGTACGCTTTCCGACCCCTCTCCCCCAGAGAGGATCGTTTGGTGTTATTCACGATGGCAGCCTGCGTATACAGGAATGCTAGTCACCATGCCACACATTGAGTTCGTCAAGGGAATTCCTAAGAGTTTGGAGCAGGATTCCTATTTTAATGTGAACAAACGGAATTTGGTCGTGTTTGATGATGAGATGATTGACGCCAGTAAAGGCAAGCGAATTGTTAACGTCTTTACTCGTGTTTCACATCATCGAATTTACTAGGCGTGATCGTGCAGAATCTATTTAATCAGGGGAAAGTTAGCCGCAGCATAAGCCAAGCAAATGTATCTGGGCCAAACTGATTTCTTTTTGTGAATCAGTAATAAGAGGTTCAGTAGACCTGCTCCGTTCTAAACCTCTTATTTCACTGGTCCCCTTTAATCTGAACTTCCGTTGTTTTCAGGGATAGGGTCATTGTTGTGTGACAATGCCTAAGTATTGTTTTCCCAGCTAATCAAAAACAATCTTTCAAATAGGCGCGGGATCGCCCTTTTGATTATCTTTAGCCTGCGTGGCAGGCGTTCGAAAGGCAAGGGGAAAGGAATTAGGGCGCAAACCACGCCCGAAGAAGGAGGGAGGGGGGAACTTTCCTTTCTTTTCCTTTCTCCCTCGCGCGCCCAAATTCCCCCTTCCTCTTCCCCTTTTAACGCCTGCCACGCAGGCTACATAGGATAATTATCGACTTCGAATAAACATCCTTGCCAGTGAGGCAGGCTTTCAACCAAGCAAGGTTTCAAGAAAATATTCCTCAAGAGCTTTTAAAATATCTGAAACAGCAAAATCCTTCGCCTGTCCCGCTTCTTCCAGCTTTACAAGAAATACAGGGCAACCTGAATGACGTGCTTTCTGGAAACGATCTTCGGGACGAAAAAAGCTAAGTGGTACTCGCAGTTGCAAAACAGATATCTGGCTTTTAAAGAACCATTAGATTCAAGAACACGACCGGAAGAAATAATCAGCACTGTTCTAGACTTAACATCAAGCACACAAGATTCTTCGACAGCAACGACAGCATTATCAACTCTCCCCTTAAAGTGTAGGAAAACATTCAAGTGGCTGTGGAGAGGACGAGTAAATGTACTTAAAACAAGTGAGTATTACGACAGTGCTTCGAAGTAAAGGAGTTACTTCTTGTACGATCAGCCAGTTGCTCAACCTCGTATGAAAAAGATTGTGACGAGTCACAAATCTCAGTGGCCAGTTCAAATGTCGTAGTTCATGTTTTTAGATCGAACTATTGTTTATCATATGTAATAGAAATTGATGTTGATGAAAGGGCGAAGTAAATTAAAGCATTCGAGCAATGGGATGGAAACAAAGGGACTCCCTGAAATACCGGCCAAAATTAACTTGCTATAAGTTCAAATCCTTTAGATGGAAGGTACGTACATTTTGAGAATCGATATTTTGAAACTCCTATGCCCCACTGGAAAAGAAGACTGAATTGGTTCGAATTGAGCAAAAGGTATTCCAAAACTAAGAAGAAGTTTCGGGTATTTTGAAAAAAGCTAATTTCATTTAAAAAAGATCGCAGAGGTCGGTGATTGAAGTGAAGTGGTAATAAGGAAAATTCATCAACGGACGCCATTAAAGTAATTTAACTTGCAATTTCATTTCCAGAGCACTTTGATGCGTGTGCTGCAAAATCAAACCAACCGCGATCAAAAAGAACCCGGACAATTGATGAAATGCTCACTAGAGATCGTGGTAGCGTAGTTCCGGAAAAAAAGAAAGAAAATCACCGTCCCTAAAGCTGTTGAGGCCATCGATTACGATTCTTACTTGGGATTATCAGACCAGGAGCTCGGCTCAAAGTAAATCTAAATGCCATCTACTTTTCAGGCAGTAAAACGTATATAATCAGTGCGAGATTAACCAGCCCAAGTTGCGTTTGCCAAAGAATCAACCTCGCCAAATTTACTGTTGGTCTTGGATTTGGACATTGTTATTAGTAGATGATCAGTCCCTGACTTTTCTGACTCCACTATAAAGAATAAACAATAATGTTTTACATACAAAAGGCTGGGGTTTTTTTAAGCTGGTTGCCGACCAAGTTTTCCCATTTTAGAGTTTTTACGGGTCCGTTTATCACATACAGAAACTTAACAGCAATTGGCCTGTGGAATATAAATCCTTGAATGATAGACTGTAATTGGTCTCAATTGCTTTAAATGTTTCTGTTGTAAAAAAGTCGTCAAGTTGCTTTCCTTTTTAGATATCAAAGCTCCATACAGCTGGTGAACGCTCTTTTAACTCTTCTGTTGAAGAGGACAATTTCATGCGAAACGAAGCTAATCAAGATATGCCCAACGACTAGGATGACAGAGAAGGTCAGTCGTCTAGTTCTTCTGATTCTAATGACGTACACCATGACCTTTATATGGATGAAAGAGATGTAGTGTGGACAGAACAGACCCTCTCTGTCATAAGTTTGACGAATTAATTCGTCAAGGGTTCGATTCACCTCTAAAAATGGTATTCTTTGCAAGTATCTTACAGATGTCATAGAAATTTACTACAATCGCTGTAACGAGTATGACCGAGAGGTAGCTGAAGTTTTCAACACTATTTGACATTTGGGTGGTAGAAAAACTGTGAATTTCATCCTTGGCCCGATGTGGATAAGACAAGGAAAGAAAGAGTCAATGCAGGTCAAATTTTCATGCGAATGAGCTAAGGTGGTCCTTCAGAGTCTTTTTGTAACAAAGAGCAAGAAGTTTGTACTGTGAGATCAGGTGTAATTATGCCACTGAGCCACTTAAGCCTCATTACAATCTTGCAACAAAAAGGGACGGGAATCTGTTCGAGGGAATCTGTTCGAACCTGTTACCACGATCAACTTTTGGTGTTCCGACAGCTGCGATCAACCGAAATTTTCTTCTGTTTGCATTATTGACAACGAGTTATTGTATGCAACAAGTATTACAGAAAACGCCATTGTTGCCGTTAAAACTTCGCCAGATGGAGTTGGCAGGCGTGGTTCTATCCAACGCCTCTTTTCTTACAGAGTAAACTGGAGAGCAGAGTCCAGCCTTTGCATAGTTTCTCGGAAAATGTTTGCTGTTTCCAATCTTGGAATTGAAATGATTGACTTCAAAAATTGTGTTGATCCTATCCGTGTGGTTGACAACGAACGAGATGGTTGCTATCCATCGCAAGTCACAAAAAGAGACTGCGACATCATCTTCAGTGATCCAACGACCCATAAGATATACAAGTATATCGGTGATTTGTACAAGGGATTTTCAGTTCGCAATAAAGGCAAGGCATGTGAAACATTCAACCTTTAGTCTGCACTGGGGTTAATACAAAACTGCCGTGTGTTATTAGAAGAAAACGAACGGGCTGTTTACCATGAGGTAAATACTCATCTTCCGAAAACATCGAATGGTCCTCGAGGAAATGTTGCCGCGAGAACTATTGACTCCGTACGGCTGGTTCAGTTAGGGTTGAACCGTCTAAACGAGGTTACGAAGCAGATCAATTATTATGATACCAGTTTACTAAGCTGTATAACGCTAGACGTCGAACACTTTCATTCAACGACACATATCAAAGTGACGTCTTGCCCATGTTGCAGTATTGTCGTTCATTTGGAGACTGCGAGAAGGAGAGTGTGAAGAGATTGTCAACGTGGAGTGCATTCTACTTTAGTCATCCTCGGAGCTGCATGGTATCCACTACCAGAAGGCACGATCCAGTTTCAAGAAATGCCTTTAATGAAATCCCTTCCTGCTCGTAAGCTGAGCTTAGATGACTGCCAGAAGCTGACAGAATTCGCAAGCGTTCACGGGAGAATAGTCAGGCAGACGTCCGTGCGCCAAGAAACAACTATGGCGGAGGCAGGAACTTCACCACCCGCTTGTTATCATCAAACCAGTTTGCGAGTTCACAGGGTGATGCTTAGACTAGGTAGTAACCACGACGAATCGGACGCTCCCCCTCAGCCCGTCGAATCAAACTCTGCAGACAGTGATGAAAGTGAAGATGAAGTTGAAGATATTGAATTCGACTCGGACGAAAGTGACGGGAATGACTGTGTCGAGGATGGAGCAAGGCTCCATAACTACGATAAACCGCAGTTATCCTCTGAAACTCTTTTTCAAGTTGGACGCCGATCAAGGTTTGGAAGGACAATCCGTTTCAATGGACGATTTATACAATACATTTCAATAGACTGATCAAAGGTTCGACTGCCACATTTTGGGAACTGCTGATCATCGACGATCTAAATGCACCAATCATAGCGGAGCATCGTGCTTTACATGGTTACGCATAACTATCCAAGGGATAGCCAGAATGGAGCATACAGTCGAAACATCGCACTTCTCATCACAAGGGACATTGTGAGACAAGACTCATTAAACGGTAAAGTAATTCCCACACTTGTTTTGTCACTAAATGACCCTAAATTTATTTCAGAAAGAACAAACGGTTTACGCGAGCCACCCAACCCTCGAAATCTGTATTTTATGCTTCGGTATAAACGACGTCAATTATTTGTATTTGTAAACTGCTTATAAGATATCGAAAATATTTACTCGCGTGTTATTAAATTAGAAACAAGATGTTCTGTTCTTAAGATCTTGTGATTTGTGTTAGGAGAAAGATAACATATAGAAAGGAATGTGTAAGTTGTTGTTAAAAAAACGGTTATTGTAATACTCGTACTGCCATAAAGGCAGTTTCGGTTTTTCGGAGAAGACGAAAGCGGTTTGCGGAATGGTCGACCCCCTATAAGACCCCTAGACCCTCTATGTTGTATCTGCCATAACGCCCTTAAGTCGTGAAATTTGAGCCTGCTCCGGTAATGAACAGAAGGTTACTAAGTTGGGATCGCGAAAATTACATTTTCTCAAAAGTGACTAAGATGGGGTCTATATTTGGCCACAGAATAGACTATAATGGGGTAGGGGTTCTGAGAGATCAACGGCACATACCCAGCAGCAGCATCCCAGTTTCGATTCCCGGCAATGCTGTTATTTGTATCTTTATTGTGTAATTTTTTCCGCTGCGTTTTCGTTTTTTTTGAAAATCCTTTTTCCCCTTTTGCTTGTTTCCCTTCCTTTACCCCACCTACCCCCCTCCTATCAAGAAGAAAGAATAGTGAGCGGTCACTCAGCAAGCCAGTGATGTCAGTTGTCTACACGTGTAATTAGCGGTGACCTTTTGGACGGCTGTTTGTTGAAAAGGTAAGGTCTCTTCCTCAGATATATAGATTTGATGATTTACCTAGCCTTTTCATGCTCCGCTGGACCGGCTTTCATTAAAAGAGGAAGAAATGTTGTAAAATACCTGTGGCATTACGCTTCATCACAAATATGCACTGCACTGCACATTCGAGTGAAAAATTTGTTTCTATCTATTCATCATTATTCTGGGAAACTTTCAAAATTACAGTGATATAAAAATATCAACTGGTCGAGTGTTAAAAAACATTGTTCCCTTTGAACAATGAGGGTTGAAGTTTTTGAAGTTTTGTGAAAACATTGTAAAAGTTTTTCCGGAGCCCTAAAACAAGGAACCCGGAATCTGGAAACGGAATCACGGAAACGGAAACAGAAACAGAAACGGAGACGGAGACGGAATCTGTGAAAGACGGTTCCAAGTGATTGATTTGAAAAAAAAGTAATATTAGCAATAATACTAGGAGTAATCAGAGCTTGGGACAGTGCGTTCAATATGTTTGTTAGGCGTACAGGTAGCAGTTGAGGAGGAAGGGTGGTTGTGATATATGTTTATGGCATATTTTGAACATAAGGGTTGCGTACAGCGAAACCTCTATTTAAACTGTGTATCACAATATGAAGGTTTTGAAAAGATATCATATCGTTCGGTGTCAAGTGCTTGTAATCGGAGGAGACACTGGCCAGAGTGCGTCAGGCATGTAAATAGAACATTTTGTTTTACTGGCATGAGTTACAGGGCGCAGTTGCTCAAAGGCCGATTAGTACTTAACCCGGGATTCTTTTTCTTGCTTCAAAAACATTTCTTTGGATAATATCCTCTGTTATTTTTAAGAGCATCCAATCATCAACTTGTTGACAAAATGAATTACATTGAATTTATTGTTTTAAAAGCGTTCATATCTGAATTCAAACTTTGCACTAACCCTGTCAAAGCCTTCAATGGAATGTGTGTAAGGCTCACGTCAATAACTTTTACAGTAATTTGGTCGAGCGTGTTGATTTCAGTGACTCGAGAGTGGCGCTACTCTGGGCTGGTTTATAAGTTTTTCCTAATAAATAACATAGAGTTAAAGTGTTCGTTTGTTTGGTGCCAAAAATATAACAAGTCATGATCAAATGGCACCACCGAGCTTCACAACTCGGTAGATTTACTTTGTGGCACAACGGCTGCCAAGCTACACAACTCATAAATTTACTTTGTGACACAACGGCCGCCGAGCTACACAACTCGGTAAATTTACTTTGTGGCACAACAGCCGCCGAACTAAACCCGGTTTGATACATGCACCAGTAGTCGCAGACATTTTCCAAAGACAGTGACAAACCATGCAGAAAAATATGAAGGCTTAATCCAAAGTAAAATTTAACAGCAAACTTCTGAAAGATGAATGCTTTGGAGGATTCAGCAAACACAGATCGATGTCAATTTTCGAAGATTCATGCAGCAAACTTCTTAAAAGATGATTTTACGAAGCTTTGACAGAATATCAGACCTTAATTTATTGATTTGGTCCATATTGTATGTAAGGTTGCAATATTTTGATGGTACACACAACTGCACTTAAGAAATAATTACAATATTGAACAGGAAGTCTCAGAATCCTTTCTGGGCTTATCGAGGAGACTCCCTGTCAATTTACAACAATTTCATTTGATGACATAGACAATTTTGGCTAGTAAAAAGGTTTTTACATCATCAGTACTACAATGTATGTAGGTGCTTACCTCGAATATATCAATAAATTATTACCAATGTGGAATCACTGTTTCATTCTACCTCTTTACTGAATACAAATTCTCATGGGACAGCAAAGCGGGAAATATAATCACCGACAGTTAATAATGCTAATATGACTGAGTGGAGTTCAATTTGGTCTGTAATCATACAAGTAATTAACAAAATCGGACCATGGCATAGTGGGAGTCCAAATTGTTTCGTCACGAGTATGATTACAGACCAAACTGGACAACACAATGTTCTCTTACCAATTAATCATAATTATGACAAAATTTGTGATAGTTTAGGCTATTTTAAACTTAAAACACCAGAAATTCCTAGCAGTGAAAAAATCCATTTAAATGGGAATTTGCAATGTTCTGTATGGTGCATACTGTCCAATTACAGCCATGATGTGTACTGTACTATTTCACTGTCCTGTTAGTACTGAAATCAGGACAGTTGAAAGACAATCAGATTTGAGAATTTTTTTATAGTTATGATTACGTCCTTTAGATAGAACTAAGTTATTATGGAGACAGACTTCCTTTAACTCAACAGAGATGTCTTTGTATAAATGAAAGGCATCGCCATTTTTGCCACAAGTGTCGTTTCTGGGTTGTCTTAAACAGGCTTCAATTTTATTTATCAAATACAACCCACTCTCAACAGAATCAAGGCATAGTGGCATACAAAGAGAAGGGAAATTGTAGTTGCATTTGCTTGATTCTGCACTGATTACATCAAAATAATAGGTCATGTTTAATAAGCCTCTTCAACATACAATATGGACGTTGTCACAAACACAATTACACAGCTATTCCAAAAGCATTCAGCTTGGTGAAAAAGTTGAACTTATTGTTAAAACACCGGAAACTGTGGTCATGTCAGATAGGTTACATGTTGATTATTTTTGGGGACAATGACATAGTGTGGTTTGAGACCTGAATGCATGCTAATAAGGCAATGTTTAACTGTATTATTTAACCCATAAACTCTTGAATTGAAATTACTTGCAAAAGTATTTTTATCAGGCTTGCAGTGCAATAAATCGCATTAACCCGTAGGGCAATATTTTCCTTTGGTGACACAAAAACAATAATATATTTAAGGGAACTGCAAAGACAAACTAAAACCTGAAAATTCTCTTTGGATTGTACTTAAATTATGCAATGTGAGATTCATTTTCTTTTTCATATTCTGTTTCCATTTCTGGATTCCTGGTTTTAGATATGTCCCTGAAATTTTGCGTCTTGGAAGGGAGGACATGGTCCAGAGTGGACGTCATAAATGGCAACCACAAGTTCAATGTCCCACTTGATAGAACACTTCTCACACAACAAATCTGAATGCCTTTGTTTTTACTCCTTCTGTATGAATTTGTCAAGTCAGAACACTGAACAAGAGAAAATATCAACTTCCAGTTGCCATTTTTGACATCCAGGACCTATTATATCTTATATAGTAACTATTATTCATCCACAGTCATTACCTTCCATGATTGTCCGGAGAATTGGATACTATTTTAACAGGTATGTAACACGATTTCAATAACGCACGGTGGTTTGATCAGGCAAGTTCATATTTGATTCTGCAATAAACAAAGGCGATTCATGCTTTCAACTGTAAACTTTAACTCCAATCAAGGTCACAACACCTCTGTGGCGTGTTAGATTTGTGCAGATTTCATCAGTTTGATTAGACAAGTAAATGAAAGTCTGCAAGTCTGCAGACTCTGTTTGTCACACCCTGAGGAATAATATAATTTCTTTTTTTGCTACAAAACACATTTTTCATGTGTTTTGTAAAAAAAAGTAAAGTATTAGTGTTATTGTAGACTCTTTGTCATGTTTTGCATTCAAAGTGCAAAGGAAAGATTTTTGTATTATGTTTGTACTTCTGTTAAAAGGGAGTAAAGTCATGGTTCATTTTATTGCAGGGCTCTCTTTTTGCAGGATTTAATTCTTTTCCCATTAGATCCCCCAGTTGTGTTAAATATAAAAAAATACATTCTACAAAAATAGAGTGCATTAAATAACTGTAGTAGATGGATAAGGTAGCAAAAATAAGAACGAAATAAGTTGAGACACTTTGTCAAAGAGACTTTCTGACTTTTTGCCAACATCAGAAGGGAAAATAAAGCTTTCCCTCCCCCACCCCCTCCAAGCAATATTTTGTTGTGCCACTGTTAGAGCCACCTGTAAGAAAT